GTGGCGCCTCTCGCCGCGGCCCTGTCGTCCCACTGGTGAGCTCCAACGTACCGCAAGTAGATTTGTGTGGTTTTTGTTGGTGTACATAGCGTCGCCGCGCTAACCGACTGACCAATGGGGGAAAAGTCGGTCTCGGTGCGGCAGAAAAAAACAATCTTTATGTGTGTGTACATTGGGTCTCCTGCTGCTGTATCGTGGGTATCCATCCACCTTGTGTATCCTGGGTATGGTAGGGTCACAAAGTATGATGCGACGACGCTGCTGATCACTCTGTGGAGTCTTTTCGATCATCACCCCGACTCTGTCCCAAGAGCATCGACAGGTCTCATGAAATATCGCCGCAAGTTTTGATTGAGCCTGGGTTTCGCACCCACGACCAACTGTTCAGCCGAAATCAAACCAGTACCATGATGATGAGCTCTGACTATTGTAGCCCATTGGTTGATTTCGGCGCTTCTTCTTAAGCGTTCACCCACCGCCGTGCCTCTCTACCGCCTACAACACGTTCCAGCGTGCTCCCTCCTACGCTCTCAACTGATTTGTTTGTTTGTTGGCGCTGACGACGAAAATCTCCAGGGCTTACTTCGTCGCAGGGGGAATCTGCGCGGCGATCTCGCACACCGCCGCCGTGCCCCTAGACGTCATCAAGACCAGGATACAGTGCGCACCGCCGGGGGTCGAGTACCGGGGGACCTGGGACGCCCTGGTTAGAATCATCAGGTCGGAGGGCGCCCGTGTCCTCTTCTGCGGCGCCGGCGCGACGCTCGTCGGGTACGCCTTGCAGGGGTCGCTCAAGGTGCGTTTTCTCAGTGTGCATTGGAATGAATAGCGTGTGAAGTTTGTTCTTTCTTTGCTAATGTAGCACGACGAATCCATGCCTTAAACCCAAGAGGCCGGGATAAATAAATTTGCACTGAATCTCTAAGGCATTGTTTGCGGAGGCACTGCCTGCGTTTTTTTTTTTTTTTTCGCACGCCGTCGCGTTCTGTCTCTTGTTGCCCCATCTCTCGTGGGATGTTGGAAGTCGTGGTTGTTTTATGGTTTGAGGGCACATCGGTAGTGGTGGTCAACACCGTTGTGTGATTGACGCTCCGTTACATGCCGGAGAAGGACACCAGAATCAAGGGCAGGGCGAGAACGCTTCATGTGTGCTCGTTGTTCGCGTTGGGATAGATTGTTTTTGCGTGTTTGCTTGGTCTGCTTGTTACATCGTAGATATAGAGCCCGTGCGTGAGCCGGAGCAGATTCCGCATGCTGAGCATGCCGCACGAAACCGAGGACGGGCCTTTTGCGTTCGCTAACATTAGTCAACTCTTTCAGAATTTGTTTGGTGGGGGGTGAGCTGAAACTACTTCATGGTAGCTGAAGCTACTTCATAGTACTTGACGAGCTGATTCGAACCCGTTTTGGTAGATGGCGAGAAGCAGTTTCATGACCGTTTTGGCTTCGCGCATGTTGCTGCCTGTTTTTTTTTTGTCGTTGTGACGCCTATGAGACAGTTCGTTCTCCCAAAAGACATGGCCCGAACTCTCCACACATTCACAAACAGAAAAAACGGACGAACTGGATCTACCATTCACTAACATGTCACACTGCCCCCGTTTTCCCCCAACAACGACCAAAACCCCAAATCATTGAACAGTTTGGGTTCTTCGAGTTCCTGAAGCCCGTCTTCAGCGGGCTCTTCGCGCGAGGTAGCCGCGGCGCCGCCGCCGCCGTCGGAGCAGTCACGGCGCCCCCCGTCCTGGGTACCCTCATCGCCGCCTCCGTCACCGCCGAGATCGTGGGGTCCTCCGCGCTGACCCCTCTCGAGGCGGCGAGGATCAGGATGGTCGCGGACGCGGACTACGCCCCGGGACTCCGGTCCGGGATCGCGCGCATGGTGTCGGAGGAAGGGGTGGCGGCGCTGACGCGTGGGCTGCCGGCGGTTTTGGCCAAGCAGATCCCCTACACGGTGACCAAGCTCGTGACGTTCGACTACCTGGTCCGAACGGTGGCTTCCCTGGTTTCGAGGAACAGTAGTGGCGGGGGGAAGAAAGGGTTTGGTACTGGGGTAGGGGGCACCGTAGCGTGCGCGGTGATCGCCGGGGTGTTGTCCTCGCTGGCGTCGCAACCCGGGGATTCGCTCCTGTCCGCCCTTAACAGCGAGGGGCGGAACGCGGAGGTCGAAGGCGGCGGCATGAACACGGTCGCGGGGTTTGACGAGGTGATGATGAGCGACGTGAACAGCGAAGACGGCAGCGGCAGCATGAGTGATAGCGGCGGCAGCGGTAGCGGCAGCGAGGAGCAGCAGAACGGAGGAGGCGCGTACTACCAGTACTCCGCTGACGCGCCCGTTTATTTCGAGGGTAGCGATGCACCAACAGGTCAGCTGGAGCAGCAGCAGCAGCAGCAGCAGCAGGTAGAGCCTGTGATCCTCGCCATGGCGAGGATTGCGAGAGAGGCCGGTTTCTCCGGACTGTTCCGAGGAACGGGGGCGAGAATGATGCACGTGACTTCAATCGTCACCGTCCAGCTCCTCATCTACCAGTCCATCAAGAACATGGTCGGCATTGCCTCCTGAAGAAGGCATAGAGTTAGCGTGTACTACTGATAATGTGGAAGTGCCTGTTTCCGAGCAGGGTAACTGGGAGCGGATTATTATTGTAGTAGTGTGAAGTTTGAGATTGGAAACGGGGGTCTGGAAGAAGACCTGGGGATGGTGCTGACTCGCGTGACGGCGAAAGTAGTAGATCCTTGTTTAATGAAAAGGTGGAGTTAGAGATGGTTGTGGAGACTGTCGAAGCGGGGAAGAATGATTCTGCGGGGAGGGACGAGGCGTAGGCTCACGATGACGCCGCTCCTCGACGTTGTTGTTGCCTACCCTTTTTATCGGTTTCGCCTGGTATATAAATATTTCATTTTGATAGAGAAACAGCGCCTTTAAATGGCGTGGTGTAGCATGTGTGTGTAGTTCGAATTTATAAGTATCTACCGAGGCGGCATCGAGTGGCAAGCGGGCGCGAATGCTTGGTGCCCCGCGCAGCCACGGAGAAACAAGCCATTCCATACGTTGCTGCTGTCCCTCTTCATGTGTGTGGGCGTGGTGCTTGCTTGGTTGTTTTGACACCGCCGTGCCTTTTCTTGAAATGTGTGAAAGGGGGACGGTGCTTTCGGCGCGTTGCGTTTGCGTTGCACGTCTTGTGCTTCCACGAGCTTGTTGCCCATGTGTCTTTGTCGCTTTGTTCAGGAGGGTTGCCGAGTACACACCCCGCAGCAGCGGACGCAGGGTATTTTTGTCGACTTGGACGGGGAGGCTAGGTGGGCAGGCAGGCAATCGCGAGGTGTGCTTGTAGTTGACGCCTGCGAAGCCACGCCTGCCTCTCGATTGTATTTATTCGTGTTGAGAGAGATTCCTCCGCTAGACCCCTCTCCAAGTGACCCGGGGGAACGTCTGGGTCACGGCTGCGAGGAGGGCGGTGTACATACCAAAGTGGGAGAGTAAAGGCGTAAGTGGAGAAGTGAAGCGGAGATAGATGCTATTACTTGTTCTTGGGAGAAAGATGGGTCATGGTGCAGTTGGGCTTGGGTGGGTATTTGCCGGGGGGTAATGTTTGTTGACCATAATAACGGGAAAGGGTGCTACGCCACGTAAAGTGCGTCGTTCGTTGATGGTGCGGTGTGGTGCGTTCCCGTCTGCGTGTTGTACGCGTGTACTGCTGTGTTCGTCAGCAAGCAGTGGGCGACTCTTTGTCGCCCTGCGGTGTGTAAGATGATTGATTGCTGGTTGCTGTAGGGGGCTTGAAAGGCCCATTCCAAAGGTGAAAAAAAAAACTGGTAAAAAACATGCACGTACGTTGAGATGTACGGAGTTGGTCCGCGTGGCGGCAGTCACCTATGAAAACGTGCATATGACTCGGTCGAGTACAAGAGAAATGCTGCGTTGCTAGGGCAGTTTCGATCCGGGGACAGCGGGACGTCATCCTCGGGGGGGGGTAGGACTACTTGAGATGTACGGAGTTGGTCCGCGTGGCGGCAGTCACCTATGAAAACGTGCGTATGACTCGGTCGAGTACAAGAAAAATGCTGCGTTGCTAGGGCAGTTTCGATCCGGGGACAGCGGGACGTCATCCTCGGGGGGGGGTAGGACTACTTGATCATCAGTCCTGCCGGACTGGCTTCCGTACGTACCTGCGAGTCGCTACAACACCACCTTTGCCTATGGCAGCCGTTGTGCCGGTTGTGTGCGGATATTGGGGAGAAACGTGTCTTTGTGCCCATGAAGGGAACGAGTTAAGCAGTCCCACCGACGACGACAAACGAGCAACCAAAGAAGAGCAGAGGGCGATAACATTTGTGCAGCGCTGGACATTTTTGCTAGCCATGATCACCCGGAGAGCCCAACGTACACATAAGACTTCTCGACGAGAAGCAGAGGCATGCGGCATCCCCCAGAACGGGGGGGGGGCACCTTTTGCGTAACCACGGAATTGATCTTCCCGGTCACGAAGAGAGGCAAGGTAGACCTTGTAAAAGCTTTAATGCATGCGAAGGGGTGTAAAACACCTGCAACGCTCTGAAACTTGAAGGGGGTAACGCGCTGTATTTACCAACCCCGGGAATCAATAATCGCACAGTGAAATTGTGAGACCATGTACTGCATACACGCATCTCTGCTACAAGTCTTTCCGAAGTGGAGCTGCAAATATACCAGGAGCTGGGTAGTCTTTTTCTCCTCGCCTGAACATTGTTGGGTTTAAGCCGTGCGCACACCTCATCACGCCCTTGAATTCTTTAGCGGCCGCGATTTCGCAAACAAAATGAAACCGTTGGAGACGAAATGGAGGGTGTTGCGACGTTCGCGCCAAGCCAGCCCTAACAACTAACAAGAGAGCTTTGGGGTGTACCGACTCGTAGGGGGGTGTTGGGCTGAGCGTGGTCGGACGGTACTGATGGGGGTGAGATCACACTCCTGCCGCCACTCGCGCAACAAGCTGAGCGGACAGAGATAGAGCGAGATGCCGTGAAGTCCGTGGGGCGGCTCTTCAGCGTTAGCGCCGCCGGTGCGTCATACAAGCGGCACGCCAACGGCGGCGCGAGGCTCATGCACATCTTACATGCGGAGCGCCGAGAGACTTGGACTGCATCGCGAAGGTGCAACCAACTCACGTCATGCTTGCATGGACCAATCAAAAACAGAAGACAAAGCTAAACGGCGAAAACGGTGATATTTTCAACGTATTGTTTGCCGGGAACACGGCAAAGCTCACAGGCCACCCCGCACCATCTTCCCTCCCCCAAGACCTCTCCGGTACACGCCCGTTGGCGCCGGCTGAGCGCTGCCCTAAGTAACGACTAGTTCGTCGCTACGAGAAGCTACCAAAAGAAGGTCGTTCGATTCCAATGGAATGAATGAAAGGGCAACGTTTAGATGATGCCGATCTTGTTGGCGATCTCGAGCGCATCGAAGTCCTGGGTGAGACGGACGTACGCCTTCTTCTTGCCGTCAGGCCTGCGGGCAACAGCGCGAGGAGTCGGGGACAAAAGAAGGAACAAGACCAAAAAAAGACAAGTCAAAACAAACGCCAGATATATATACCCGTGACAAATGGGACCAGGAGAAAAGGAACCGTGCATGATCAAACTCAGGATCACCTGCATATTTCTCTCGATGGAACACACCAAACGCGCAAACGAAAATCTAACTCACTGTCATGAAACAATCTGCAACGCCACAGGCCGGATCGGCGTGTCTATCTCAGACTAGGTGTCGCACAGAGTCTCAACCTAGAGACAAGGGTGTACCTCTTCTGCAGTTTACCCACTACAGGAAGCAACGTTTCAGAAGTCGCCCTGGTACGCCCATGAGAGTCCACAAACCGCAGCCGACACACAACAACAGAGCTGTAGCCAGCAACAAAAAAAAAAAAACAAGCTGTATTAGCTCACCGGATGAGGGTGTTGACGTTTTGCGACTCGATGTCGTAGAGAGCCTTGACGGCGTCCTTGATCTGGCGCTTGTTCGACTTGACGTCCACGATGAAGACGAGGGTGTTGTTGTCCTCGATCTTCTTCATCGCGCTCTCGGTCGTGAGGGGGAACTTGATGACGCGGTGCTTGTTCATCTGCGGTGCCTGTTTCGGGTGCGCGTGCAAGGGTTTGTTTTGCGCGAACACAGGGCGTCGTGGGGGGCGGCCGATGAGTTGCCAACATCAACGCCACAGGAAGTACTCGAGAGAGCCACCATTGCTCGCACAACGGACGAATGCACACCCGACAGCAGTACCGGAAGGGGCAAATTGGAAAATCGACGCTCGGGTCAACGCTGGGGCAGGGGCCGCATGAGATGCCGGCTAACCGCACCACCAAAGCCTACATCTACAGTGTGGGAGGTGCGGGCACCGTCTTCCTGCCTCTTGTCCACCGACACACACCAAGCACCATCATGCACGGCAGTTGAGACTCAGACTTCAATAACCCGTTGCCGCAAGAGCAGGAGCGTGTGCCTTCATGTCAGCGACAACGCACGGCACGGCCGCCCTACGGTATGCCCATAGAGCAACAAGTCAGCGCGCGATGAGTACACTTCCAAGTCAATAGCGCAAGACAAGGACTGAACGTATGAGCCCGCGTTAACCAGCGATCTCCTCTGCCAGTGCGGCCGTGCTCGCGATTTCCTGTGGGCTTGTCGCAATCAGCGAACGGCTTCCGGCCAAAGTCTCGGCACTACAGAAAATCAGGGGTCTCAATTGCACCAGACGAGAGCTAAAGCCAACGAAAACGTCGGCAACATTTCGGCGAAACACAACATTTTAGGAAAAATACAGAAAGACTAAACACAACACTTGCATCCTTACAACTTCACGAACGTCGAAGGGCAAACACCACAACAATGAAAAGGGACCTCGATGACGACACGTGTAGGAGTGTGCACACCTCGCGACGCCAGAAGAGCGTGAACAAACCACTCGCACCATCTAAGCACATGCTGCCAGCTGCAATACGCTAATACTGCGAACAGCCACATCCAACGGGCCTCTTTTACATGGGACGACAAAAGTTACCAGTAGATTCCACGGCTTCCGGGCATCCACGGAACGCCCTAGGGGAACATGACCAACACATTGGGCATTCCGAGAACGTCCTCAAGAGACATCATCACCCTTCATCTTCAAGTACAATATTGAAATGAAGGGTGACGAAAACGAGGGTCGGCTCGTGAGCGTGTTACGGGCGCATACCACGTGCTTCCAACCTCCCAAGAAAAAAAAAGAAACAGGGGGGTGGGGGTAGGGGGCTCACCCGGGGGACGGCCTTGGCGGGGTACTTGGGCTTGCGGGCGTGGGTAAGCGTCTTGGGCCTTTTATATTTGTTCGCGAGAGAGAAGACCCATCGCCAGAACGACGTTCAGATTCCCGCCACGAGTCAAGCCACGCACAGCGCCCGAACAACGGACCATGTGTTGTCGATCATTGCAAGCCCAGTGGCGCAGAGCAGCACCGGCAGCAGAGAAAAGAGGGGGGCACACGACGACGGGAAGGAGATACGGGAGGGTTGGAATGTGTCCAATATATTTTCACGTCGAAATGGGGTGGGTGGGAAGCTGAAAACAAAATGACAAGCCGAATCAGCGTGCAAGACACAAGAACAATCAGCATTCAACACCCGCTCAATATCTCGGAATTGAGAATGTCGATGGGTAGACCTTATTTATTTATCTTCAAACTCAAAATCTGCCTCGGAAATGAAAAACCTTCCTGGGCGGCATGCACCCCTCCCTCCTTACAGACGAGTAAATTCGGCGTGTTCTCCGCAGGCGCGACGAGGGCGTCCGGTACGCGTCAAGGCACCCAAGGATACAAACAACGTGGTTGGTGCATTACTTCGTTTCGCTGCTTGAGGGGTCTAACTTCGAATCTTCTCCCGAGGGTTTCGCGTGCGACGGCATGTTGGTCTGCCCCACAACAACAAACTTGTTGAACTTGGGAGCTCGACACCGTGTGTTTGCATATCTTTCGCCATCACAACCATAGGTCGTCATTCCCTCAATGGTTCTCCCGTAATGTGTTGCCTTTGCCTACAGGGACGGCCGATCGGCAGTCGCTCGGTAGAAATCTACTGCTGTGGCGCTTCACTTATGTACTGCGTACACAGATGATCTGAATTTCGGTGAAATATGAGTTTGACAAGCACGCTTTTAGTGCCCCCATTTGTGCTGTCGTTGGTGTACACCCAATTGATATAACGCCACATTATGTATTGCGCACACAGATGATCTGAATAAAATATGTGTCTGACAAACACGCTCCTGGTGCCCCCATTTGTGCTGCCGTTGGTGTACATTCACTTGGTATGACGTCACGACCCGCCTCACTGACGGTGCTGCACACCAACTCGATCCCTCAGCAATCAGTAATTAGAGAAGCTACAGTACCGTATGACCAAGTCGCAGAATATGCCACACCCCCTGGATCCCTCACCGACCGTGCTGCACAACACTGAAGCTCCATCCCTCAGCAATCGAAAAACTAATGTACCGCAAGCCGCAAGTTATACCACACTCCCTGGACTGAACTAAGAAACTCGGTTACTCTTCAGGCAAAAATAGCAATGACGGTGCCGAAAATGGCGGTGTTGGATCCGTCTCGTCAAGATTTTTCCGAAGATGTGTCTTTGGGTTTAGCCACCTTCTTCGCTGTGGAGTAATCGAACGTCGACATTCGGTCATGGGGGGGTTGGAATCTTGCGAGACCTATGCGTATCATTACCAGGCCCCGCGACCGAAAAGGCCACTGCCGCCAACAACCGAGGAGTGGGACGCGATGTCCACGGCACTACGTAGTGCTCCTTGAAATAAAGCCCCACACATCAAGGCCGACCCAGATCGCGTGGCATTGATGAAAATACACGTTGCCTGTTACCCTGAACAGCAGTGCCGGGTGCTCGGTACAAGGTCAGCCAATCCCTTGGGCACCGTCAACATGTGGCTCTACGAAATCACTACGTACGACAGCAGCATTGTCTGTACGTTCTATATTCCCGATCCCACATTCGCTTTACCTGTGGAAGTGAACGCTGGTGCGGACCTTCGCCCTCCGCTTGCCGCTGCCCTTGAGCACATTCTTGGCCGCAAGCTTGGCCTTGGAGGCTGTATGTTCAAGTCCAAGAGGGCAAAAAAGAAAACGGGTTAAGGAGTGGCGCCAGGTATCATGGGTAAGTGCTCCTTAGCGGAAGCTATGCGTTGCATAAAACGTACTCTCGTCTTGTGGCATCGTCGGAAAGACGACCGCCGAAGTAGGGGTTTCGAGCCGATGAAGAGGGTGGCACACGACGATACCCGGAGAGTGCTACTCGGACGCAAAGGGGTGGGGCGCACGTCGGGGCGTACAGCGGCGCTAAATAGCTATTTCTCTGGAATGACGTTAAGCATTTGCATCTTTAATAGCGCAGGGGAGAGAGCTACAGAGCACCCGCAGGCGTGTTGCTTTCACCAACCAGAACACATCAGTTCATCTACAAGCTGAGCTTACTCGTGTACGTCTTCGCCTACGCGCTGCTTATGCCGACTCTGTTAAAGAGCGGGGCAGACCGATGCGGCTAGAAAGGCTCCTGGTGTACGTGACTCCCAACGAATGCCCCCACGGGGAAAATATTCTGCGAGATACATCGCGTGAACGCTTGCCCCAGAGACACAAGAGAGAGAACGGTCTCGAGAGGGAGAGAGAAAAGCGCTCGGCGTGTTGTCGACGAAACCTTGGGGGAGGGGGGGTACAGGTGATGGCGACTGAATACGTGTTGGTCTCGTTTCTACTCAACACTTGGTCATAGAGGTAACAACTCGCTGTGCTTAGCGGGTACAAGAGTGTCGCGTTTGCCTCTCCCACAGGAGGTGTGGCGTGCCCCGGTCACCAGGAAGTGGTCCCTCTGTAGGCTGAGATATACGGCCACGACACTTTAGTAAGATGGGGCGAGTTTTCGCTGCTGTGCGTTGCAGGGTGTCTCGTTCCGCATAAAGAGGGTGTGGCCGGTCTGCGAAGCACTGCTCGCTTCCTCTCAACGACGAAAGGGTATTTTCAGGGGACATCAAGCAGATGCGCTGGCATGCTCCCTTGAAACTGGACATTTCGCTATTCAACCACAGCCTGCATCTCCTTGCTCGTTGCTAAGTTGGTGTATAAGCGAGGGACAAGGCTGCTCCGCTCCCCCGCTCGTGGGCAGCAGGGAGGCAAACCAAGTCTACCTGCTCTGCTCGATCACAGCACCTGACACATGCTTTCGATCATAGAGCAAAGTACACCCCTTTTGGCCGTCACGTCCAACTCACTAGTTCTCCCTGATCCCCAACGCATGTGTGCAGATAACAACACTCTCTATCTTGCTTGAGGCAACCGCAAAGCTCTCGGCACCCAGCAGTAGTATAATAGTGGCCACGAACGAGAGCTAGGCAACCAAAGACGGCTGAAAAAAAATCGCTCCACAGGCACACACACATCACCGAGAGCACGAATCCCAACGGACACACGCGCACGGAAGTCCAGCAATGTCTCACCCTTGGTCTGAGCACCCATGACGAAAGAAAGGGAGGGAGAGGGAGATCACCGCCTGTGGCGCCAGCCGCGCAAGCCCGCCTTGCCCACCAACCAAGGGGGCCACGTAAAATCGAAAATATGTCGGCACGGGGCCCCTTCCAAGGCAAAAGGGTTTCAGTGAGGTGTTCTGTATATTGAAGGCGTGGAGTAGATCTGCGAGCCGGCCGCCGCGGAGCCGCGGGTTGTTGCTTCAATCACTTGCAGCGGACCAAATGCGACAGGGGAGACGGCCCCTATTACGCGAAGCCGCTGTCGCCCTCAGTACCGTACAGAGGTGGTTTTCCATCCACGCTCCCCTGACTGCCGGTGGCAGGGTGGGTGGCTAGACTGCGTTAGTGCATATACGGGTAAGTACGTAGCAGTAGTGTTGCAGCATCGTTTGACGATGGTGGGGAGCGACACGATGGTGGTTGTCTCATCGTCCAGACCGACCCCGCCGGGCTCGGCCACCACAGCCACCGCTAAGGAGGAACGGGAGGTTCCCAGCAAGGGAATCACGGCTCCAACTTCTTCGATGGCGGAACTCTTAGCCCGCGGTGGCAACTCGGGGGGTAAGTTGCACTGCTCCGCCGCCTGGGTGTGAGAGTCAGCGTGGACTACACAGAGACTGCTGCGTGTGCGCCTGGCAGTTGCATTTACAGCAGTGTGTTGAGAGTTGAGAGTTGGTAGGACGCGAGCTTCTGCCCGCTTCATTGACTGCCGCGGGGGTATGGTGGGCCCATCCGTCGGCGTGTGCAAGAGTCATTTGGCGTGCTGAGAGGAACGTTAGGTTTAAAACCCAGCACCAGTGACTCCTCTATTCGTGAGTGCCCGCGGAGACGTTCCGGGATTCATTCTCTGTGGCGAGGAAGTGACTGCTGAGACTACTTACATACACTTGCAGCAGCGATCATCAGCTGCTTCCGAGACTAGCGCGAGCTCATACACCTAGCGTTTCCACCTGATGTCTATCTAGGGGCGTTCGTGCTGAGGATGGTGCTGAGAGAGTTCCGGAAGCTATGCGGTAGGCAGGTTCCAACAGCACATGTGTATGGTTGTGTAGATGAAACAGCACGTTTGCTGGGGGTTGGGTTGGTACACATCGCGTTACGTATGATACCCAACGGTTTTGGGGTTCAGGTTCAAGAGAGCGGTGTGAGCAGAGAGCCCTCTTGTCTACACAATTGGGGAGAAAGAGGATGCGTTGCATGCCAGGTCCTCCTTGTTTTTCTGTCGCCTGAGCCTGTGGGAAATACTCCTCTTTTGGACAAGCGGCATTGGCAGGGCAGGGTATGAAGCAGCCGGCGATGAAGGGTCTTGTGGGATGTGCGACCTACAGCAACAACAGCAGAGTAGCGGTAGCCGGTTTTGTCGTGTTAACCTGTTTATCGCGTAAGCAGAAAGAATGGCGGCCACCCACGCATTCGTGTTGGCGTTGTTTACAGCATATCGTGTGATTTGTGACGAGAGTAATCATCTAGACAGCACCAGCGTGTGGTATGATTTACATGGCATGGCGGCTGTCGTTGCGTACCGTTTGGGTATGTGTTTGGGGCACGTCATATTCCGCGTACAAGTTGCTCATGCTCACACTCGGTGACGCAAGTGAGCCTGGGCGTTTCAGAGGAGTGTGGCACCAACAGACCTCGCTCCAATGATGTATGGAAGGTGTTTTCCTCTGGGTCCGTCGGGTGATTACAATTACGGCATACCCCTGACGCAAAAAGCCCCTCGCGTAACCCCCCCCCCCCCCCCCCTCCCCCCCAC